GGTGGGGGGGGGCTGGCCGGCCACCTCACCCACCATCAGGGTGGGAGAGGCTGATCAGGGGCGGGGCTGGCTGAGGGGAGGGGACCTGGGAGGTGGGTCGGTTGTCCCACCCCCTGATTGGGCCAGTTGGCTGGCCGCAGTGGGCGTCATAGCGACTGGTCATTCGGATCATTTTGGCGGTCCGGTCACTGGCTTTTTATATATATATATATATATAGGTGGTACAGTATTTGCCTATAATCCTGGCACATTCTACCATTTAGTTTGTCATCTCTAGATTACTTATAATATCTAATACAATGTAAGTGCTATGTAAATAGTTGTTATACTGTATTGTTTAGGGAATGACAAGAAAAAAAAAACTCTGTACATTTCAGTGCAGATGCAACTGGCATAGGCCTAACTAACTATATTTCCTATAGTGCATGTCAGCAACAAGGTAACTTTAAAAAAATATATTTTTGAGGCAAGGTTGGTTGAATCTGAGGATGCAGAACTTGATATGAGGGCTGACCTTTTCTTGATTTTGTCCTCTGTATTTTTTAAGGAATGGTCCTTAGACATTTTCCAGGTTTTTAGCAATTTCCCTTGTGCCATTTCCAATTCAGTCCTTATATTTATGGTTGTTTTGTTCCTGCTTGTTTCCTGAGCTCCTCCAGGTCATGTTTTAATTTCTTCTGTTGTCTTGCCCTATATTTCCTGAGCAAATGCATCTTTAAGTTTTTGTTTTATAGAAGTTATTTTTTTGGTACATTATATATTTGAATATAAATTTTACCTATTCTCTAGTAAATTTTTTTCTTGTGTTAATGCTTCACTACCATTTGTTTTTTCCTATTTCTTCACACTTTTTTTTTTAATTGGAGGAATTTTGTAAAGATTTTGTTCTGGTTCTACCTTGAATTTAATAATGTGAACTAGATGAGTTCTTCCATGAAGAAGGCTCAAGTTAATGAGTGGGCCTTAGACATTGTCCAGGCTAACTGGAATTTTCAATGGATTATGCTCAGGTTCCTATGACCCAAATTCATGACTGATGGTTCCTTTAGTCTTTACTTCTTTGCAAAGAGATCTGAAAGGGCCATGCTGAGCCCCTCTTCTCAACTTTGCCTCCTTGACAGCCTGCTTTTTACAGCATGGTTCCTCATTCAGAGATGCTTTTCCTAGGTGCTATTGTAATGTATCCTGTCCATGGCTTATGTTAATCATCAGTTATAGGAAATATGTGCAAGTAACTTTCTTTCAACTATTTCTAAGAACTAAGTATACAATTTAAGATGCCAAAAATTTTGCAGCATTTGTCAGATGAGGCCTCTAACACCCAAATGTTGTCAAACAATCTATTCAATGGGAAACTTCTAATAAACGAATGTTTTTTTTTTTGTTTTGCATGCAATAATTCTTGTTCAGATTTAAATAAGTTTTTCATGTAGGGTGTATATATATGAAGTCACCTAATAAAATATTTTTGACCAATATGATTTTGGACCAAAGAGTTCTTAAGTCTTCAAAGATTAATGATATTTCGGATAAGCTTTTCATCATGTTAAAAACGACAATACTGATTTACAAGTCTCCCAAATCACTGATCCTTAGGCAAAGAGCAAGGGTGTGGGCAGGAATAGAGAGGAAAGAACTGAATAAGAAGGAGAAGTAGAGAGAAGGGAAGGAGTGGGGCATAGGAGGGTACCAACTGGGATCTCAGTCATGCCTGGTTCCTACTCTTCACATCTAACTTTTAACCCAAATAAAATATATTATAGTTCTCCAAATATGTTTGAGGGAGGTGCTGTTAGCCTCGGATTTGGGTGATGTGTCCCAACTTTGAGAGAGGTTCTCAGTTATCCATCTTGGAAGTTGGGTTTGTTAATTCAGTCTGTGTTTCTAAGCGCCAAGCAATCCCTATTTGCTTTCCTCAGCCTGGAGAGCCTTTCCAGAGGTTCTCAACCTGTGGGTCGCGACCATCGGAAAACACATATAGCATATCAGATATTTACATTACGATTCATGACAGTAGCAAAATTACAGTTATGAAGTAGCAACGAAAATAATTTTATGGTTGGGGGTCACCACAACTTGAGGAACTGTATTAAAGGGTCGTGGCATTAGGAAGGTTGAGAACCGCTGCTAGGCCAACTGCCTGGGAAAGACAATCCAGGGGGAAGGAGTGGCTGAAGGGGCGGCCAGGCTGACTTCTCACCTCTTTGGGGTCTGCTTCCAGGCGAGCAGCTAGCCTGCATTCAGCTTGTCAGAACCAGGCCGAAGGTGCTGGATGACCTTTCCTTTACCGAGAGCAGAATTTCCCCCTCTTACAGTGAAATTGGAACAGTGCTGGGAAAATGGGACAGGTGTCTCCAATCAAGAGTCAGGGCTGTTTACCCAACCCAGCCCAGGGGGCCCTAAGGGAGTGAGAGTCTTGATCCAGGGAAAACTGTAATTTTCCGGGACAAGAGGCAATCCCTGCAGGTTGGGGCCTGGGGATCCGCACGTGCATGCCCTCTGACAGGTGGACATGGGAAGGAGGTGGGCAAAGGGCACCTCCGCGAAGTAGGTCAGAGGGAACTCTGGGTTGTTTTCCCCAGCCCCTAAGAAAGGATGTTTCCAGGTACAGATACTGCCACCTGGGTACCCTACAAAGCAGGGTGGGGCTATGGAGGGTGTGGAGCAGGTGCTCACTTTCCACTAAGTCTCTGGGTTTGCGAGACCGAATAGCGGCCTGAGGAGAGAGGGAGAGATCAGGAGGGGCCAGGGAGGAGCGAAGGCCGGCCCAGACTCGCTGGCCGCTCCGGCCCGGCCCGGC